ATGGGTAGTTGAGTGCATGAAGACATTCAAGGAGGCTGACGATGACAGAAAGGAGACTGGGAGGAGGAAGGGAAGAAACTGACTTTTACCACAATTCTTGACATGTACTGTTAGGTTTAGTGTTCACAATACTAGGAAGCTATTATTCTATGGTAGATACTAGGCCTGAATGTGACAGTTTCCTTACTCCCCAGGAGCTCATTACAATATAAAGTTGTAATGAGTGGAATAATCAGTGAAGGTCGCTCAGTCATGTCCGACTCTTTGCGACCCCATGGGCTATATATAATCCATGGAATTTTCCAGGCCAGAATAAATACTGGAGTGGGCAGCCTTTCCATTCTTCAGGGGGGTTCTTCCTAACCCAGGGATCGAACCCAGGTCTCCCGCATTGCAGGCAGATTCTTAACCAGTTGAGCCACAAGGGAACCCCAAGTAGAATAATAGTATGTACTAGTATTTTTTTTTAATTAATTTATTTTAAATAGAAGGATAATAGCTTTGCAATATTGTGTTGGTTTCTGCCATACATCAGCATGAATCAGCCATAGGTAAACACATGTCCCCTCCCTCTTCAACTTCCCCCCAACCTCCCAGTAGTATTTACTAGTAGTGGAAATAGGAAAACAGGTTCATTTGATTGAGTCCATAACATGTGTCATACGGGCTTCACAGGTGGCTCAGTGTTAAAGAATTCATCTGCTAATGCAGGAGCCACAGGAGACCTGGTTTTGATCCCTGGGTTGGAAAGACCCCCCTGGAGAAGGAAATGGCAACCCACTCCAGTATTCTTGCCTGGGAAATCCCATGGACAGAGGAGCCTGGCAGGCTACCGTTAGTGCCGATTCCGGATGTGACTGAGCACGCTCACAGTATGTGTCATACACTGTTGCTTTGAGATGGTGTTAGTTTTATAAATAAATGGAACTACAAATAGATATTCATCCACAATCACATTGTGACTAAGAGGTGGAGTTTGCTTGTTTATTATGCAAATATGTTTACTGGATATCTCCTCTCTGTGTGCACTGTTCTGGTTCTTGGGGGACATAGCATTGAACAAAAGAGACAAAAATTTCTGTCCTCACGGAGCTTGCATTCTGGAGGTGAGAGAGTAAGGATTCAAGCCCTGCAGACTCTCTTGATTGCTTTTTAGTGTTAAGTGATGGGCTATGGGAGGACTGGATGGGAGGTCAGGCCTGAGGGAGGGTGCAGGTGAGTGATGAAGGATGAGCAAGTGTTTGCTGGAGTCAAGTGGAAGGCACATTTCAGGCTGTGGAAACAAATAGTTGAATAGGCTATATATTTGAAATTTTGAAATTAGAACATCACTTGGATCCTAACTTTCTCCTAGGAGGAGTATAAATTTACCTGGGAGGATGAGGAGAATAAAGAATTAGAGAAGCTAAGGCAGTAGGGTGAATGGTGAAAGGCTTTGACTTACAGAATTAAGATTTTAGCTTTGAGCCATCAATCCAGAAAATGTTTTTGATCGTTTTGTTACATAGTTGCTCTCATGGTGTGTTTAGGTACTGTTATGAAGGTGTTCAGCCCTAGGGAATGAGGTGACAAGTCAAAGCAACACTCTGGATATGTTGACTTGAATGATCAACCTGATAGGCAGGAACTGTTGGAAGCTGGCCTGACCCAAAGGAGAGGGCCCTGAGGTTTTGATTAAGGGCTTTACGGGATTGGGGGGATCTGAGATGCAAAGATAAATGAGCAAAGGACATTTACATGATACCTAAAAATAAGATTTTTACTTGGATGGTCAATAATATATAGTTTTATTGTCTTAGGAAGTGAGAGATACAGATGGTATGGTGAAAAGTGAGCACCTCTGTTTGAATTATTAATGTGTATAGTTCAAAATGATTTTTCCCTTAAGTGGACTCAAACCAAGCTCTTTTAAAGTCCTGTGTAACTAGTATACTGTCAGAGAGAAATGCAGGATCTCCCCAACTCCCTTAACTAAATATAGCCTGGTTCTCTTCCTTTTCACTTTACTGTAGGCAGAAAGAGGAAGAGATGAGGAAAGGTTTTATCTTTTTTAAAAAAAAACACTGTCCTTAGTGGTCTTCATCTTTTCTTGAAGTGCAGTTCATTGTGTACAACTGCATACATTTTTGTCACGGAATTTTTCTATCTTGTTTGTAGTCCAGGTAACGTTATCTTCCATGCCTGTTGCCCTGAGAGTACCACCTGCATCCTTAGGGTGGTAGCTTTCAACTATATTACATACATATTCATTCTTATTTAACAGTTGTTTATTGTGTGCCTGCTTTCTGTAGGAAATTCACATTGCTCAGTAAACTTTAATGGTGAAACAGATGAAAGAACCAGTACCATGAAGTTAATTGTGAAATCCTGGGGGACTATTGTATTGGTTACTCCGTTTGGCTGTATCTCATAGACCCTCCAAATAAGTGATTTAAATAAGGTAGACATTTTCCTTTCATGTGAAAGTGAGCCAGCAGTGGCACTTCTGTGACACTAAGTCCTCAGCCCTACCTCTCTTGTTGAGGTGTTACCCTCACATGCCTGGTCCAGGGTGACTTGCTCCTACTTTCGCATCTAACCAGCAAGAAGGGGGAAGATGCATGATCTGAAAGTTGCTGCGTCATTTCCAGTTAGAACTTAGGCACATAGTGATACCCACAGGGTTGGTTTGGGAATGTGTTTCTTCTGAGCATTTATGTGCCCAGCTAAAAATATTACCATAGCAGCAGGAGAAAAATGGATGTTGGGGGAGCAACCAGCTATCTCAGGGACCTTGGTACTGCTTTGACTATTGCACAGCACTTAACCCTGTGCCTTATCCATAAGGTGTGAATAAATTGTTCTCATTTGTTCTTTTTTTTTTTTAAACATATTCATTTATTTGGCTATGTCGAGTCTTCATTGTGTCATGCCAGGTCCTTCTGGCAGCACACAGACCCTCTAGTTGTGGTGCACCTCCTCAGTAGTTGCTGATCGAGGGCTCCAGAGCACATGGGCTTCAGTACTTGTGGCACATGGGCTTAGTTGATCTGAGGCATGTGGGGTCTTAGTTCCCTGACCAGGGATCGATCCTGAGTCCCCTGCATATCAAGGCAAATTCTTAACCTCTGGACTACCAGGGAAGTCCCTCATTTGTTCTTTTCAGGCCCCGGATTCACCTGCTGTTATGTCGATAAGAACTCCAAGAGATTATTCACAAAAATGTTTCCTTTTTGTCATGGGAAATAATGGGAAAGAAAAGTGTTAGTATCTGTGTATTATAATGCCAGCATGACATTTAATCTATAGTTATAGGATGTTTTCCAGTAGTTTGCAAAAAAAGTAAAAAGTGGTAGGTCTTTTGTTGCTCTCTGATACTGTAAGTTTAAAAACTGGGCAGCAGTGCATACTTCAAGGGTAGAGTCTGGCAGTCAGGCTGTTTGTCTACTTTGCCTGCTGATCATTCAGCCTTCAGTGCTTCCCAGATGAAAGGGTTTCTGGGACCATATGTATGATTTTGGCCATATCTACCTATCTCTACTATGCTCAACTTAATATTTGTCCTTCAATTTACTTTAAATTCATTAGTTTTTTTTTTTTTTAACTTAGCCTCCTTCTAAGCAATAATCCACTAAAACATGGTTTTGTTTCCTAATACTCATTCATAATTTCCTAATACTCATTCATAATTTCCTAATATAATTCATTAAATACCCAGTTATTAGAATCTGCTTGCTAATGCAGGAAACATGGGTTTGATCCCTGGGTCGGGAAGATCTCCTAGAGAAGGAAATGGCAAGCCACTTCAGTATTCTTACCTGGAGAATTCCATGGATAAAGGAGCCTGGCGGTCTAGTCCATGGGGTCACAAAGAATCGGACGTGACTTAGCAACTAAACAACAACAACAGTGTCCTTTTAACTACCTAAGAAGGTCTCCTTTAGAACAGGAAGTAGTGCTTTGCCTCATTTCATAGGCTCCACTGCTGCTTTGGTTTTTTTTTTTTTGTAAACTTTCCGTAAATCCACATAGCTAAGTGGCTCTGAATTTCAAAGAATATCTTTGTGTTTTTAACTCTAGAAGAGAAACTACGAGTTAGTGTTAATTTTGATCTAAAGAATTGCTTGCCTCTAGAACCTTGACTAGGTTTTTAAGAGTGATCTGCAAAGCATAGTCACCTACAGATGTTTTCAAGTTTTCTCTAGGACCCATTGGGACCTGTTACTTGACTTTTGTAGGCCTTAGTTTCTGTATTTTTAAAATGGAGTGGTGCCATTTACCTCGTAGAGTTCTAAGGATTAAGTAAAATGATGTATGTGAAAGGCTTGGCTTTGGCAGGTGCTCTTTCTACTCTTGGTGGACTTTCGGTTCATTTTCAGTTTTGGACCATTTTGAATGAAGCTGGTGTGAACATTCTTGTGTATATGTTTTTTGATGGATATACACATTTATTTCTCTTAGGTATATACCTAGGAGTGGAATTGGCTGGGTCATAGTTACGTTTAGTTTTAGTAGACACTGCCTAACAGTTTTTCAGAGTGGTTCCATTCCCATCAGAGTGTATGAGAATTACAGTTGTACCATTCTGATGGGCAAGCGGTGGTATCTCCTTATGGTTTTGATTTACATTTCCTTGTTAAATAATGGTATAGATCCTTTTCATATGCTTATTGACCATTTGGATATCCTTTTTAAATGAAATGCCTGTTCATAATCTTTTGCTTATTACTCATTTTAAAGGTGGAATAGTTGTATTTTTCTTTGGGATTTCTATGATGATTCTGGATATGAGTCCTTTGGATTTAGGTGTTAAAATATTTTCTTTTAGCCTGTAACTTGCATTTTTACTCTCTTAATGGTGTTTTTTAATGAATAAAATTCTTAATTTTAATTAAGTCTAATTAATCTTTTTTTTTCTTTTATGATTGGGTCCTTTTGTGCTCTGTTTAAAAAGTTTTTACTCTTCCATGCTAAAAATACATATATTTGAAACTTTTTTTTTAATCTCTGTAACAACATAGGTGATGCTATGGAGAGCGGAAAGCCTGGTCCAGTGCAGGTTGTTTTGGTTCAGAAAGACCAACATTCCTTTGAGCTAGAAGAGAAAGCCTTGGCCAGCATCCTCTTACAGGACCACATCCGAGAGCTTGATGTGGTGGTGGTGTCGGTGGCTGGTGCCTTCCGAAAGGGCAAGTCCTTCTTGCTGGACTTCATGCTACGATACTTATATTTCCAGGTAAGGTAGAATTATTTCATTTCCAATTAGCAAGTGGAGACTTTTGTGTCCAAAAGAGCAAACTCACCTCATGAGTTATCCTTGATGTGTAAAGTTACTTGAATAAGTTTTAATGGAAATTTCTTATTTCTCCTATAGAAGGAAGGTGGCCATTCAAACTGGTTGGGTGACCCAGAAGAACCGTTGACAGGGTTTTCATGGCGAGGGGGCTCTGACCCAGAAACCACCGGAATTCAGATCTGGAGTGAGGTTTTCACTGTGGAGAAGCCAGGTGGAAAGAAGGTAAGGAAGAAAAAGACTTACAAACTAACAAACACAGTGAAATGAAAACTGTAATGTGTAGTCTGATAATCCAGTTAAAATGATCTTTATCAAAATCATATAAGTTCAAGATGTAAAAATAATGCATGCATGTAGTTTAAAAGGTCAGGGGTAACATAAGGCTTCTGAGATGACTAGTCCTCTCTCTGCTCATTTTCACTTCCCAGAGGCTAATGCTCTCAACTGTTCAGAAGTTACTTTACACTCTTACTTCTGTAATCATTCACTCCACCCACCCCTCCAGCTGTCAGCAGCGCATCTCATGAGCCTCATAAGCTTCAGTTGTAGACCTTCTCCCCAGATTTCTTCGTAAGGGTCAGCTGGGGCAAGGTATGTGTCTCCTCAAGTGGAAAGAGAGAATTTGGGGTTATGACTATTTCTTAAACAGACTTTAACCCCTTCCTTCTGTTTTTAGTCTCACCCTAAAGCATGTTTTCATGGTTGTTTGTGCCTCTCATTTTTTGAGTCTTTCCAAGGCTTAAGATTTCGTATCTTCCCTTCACGTTGGTCAGTTTCCGCCTTTTCCTTGATGTTAAGTTATTAAATATTTTGGGAGATGGAGAATTGATGCATGACTCTTGATCACTGTTTCCACTGCTTCTGTTTTATTTTGTGAATTTCCTTATTATTTCTTTAAATATTTTGTTTCTCTTTGTTTTAGTGAAGTTTCAGGAGAAAAGTATATTAGAAAGCCCTCTAATTTTTTTTTAAATGCTTAAATATGCATACAAAAAATGTGTAGCAAAATAGGGAGATTATTACAGTTTTTTTTTAAAGAAAGAGAATGTAGAGAATTGCCTGGCAGTCCAGTGGTTGGGGCTCTGTGTGATCACTGCCGAGTGCACGTGTTCAATTTCTGGTCAGAGTATTAAGATCCCATAAGCCGTGGGGGCAAGGCGGTGGGTAGGAAGCGAATGGAGGAGAATGAGGATTTTTTGAAATAGAATGTTAGAAAGTTTTGCTTGGAAGAATCTTTAGATATTGTTTTATCCGTTCTTTAATTTTTTTTAGCAGCTTTATTAGGATACAATTGATATTCCATTTCTCCCCTCCCAACTTTTGTGCTTTTGTCATATATTTTTTTATAATAACATTGTTTTTACTTTTATTTATTTATGTTTAAATGGTCAGTTATCTTTCAAAGATATTTAAATAATAAGAAAAAAGCCATGTACTTACACGTGCAGTTACCATTAACTGTACTTCACTTTTTGCATCCAGATTTCTATCTGCTGTTTGTGTTCATTTTTCCTTCCGCTTGAAGGACTTCCTTTAAAAGTTCTTATAGTGCTACTCTTCCGGTGCAGAATTCTTTTAGCTTTTGTTCTGTGTCTGAAAAGTATTTCACCTTTGTTTTGAAAATACTTATGCTAGGTATAGAATTCTAGGATGGGAGTTTTGTCTTTCCGTGCTTCAGAGATGTCAGTCCCCTGCCTTTCTGCTGACATTGTTTCTGCTGAGAAATCTATTGTTATCCTTATTTTTGTTTGTCTCTGTGTTTAATGTGTCTTTTTAGTCTGGTTGCTTTAAAATTTTTTTCTTTATCATTATTATTATTTTTTTTTTAGCAATTGGATTATGATACGTCTTTGTGTACTTCTCTTTATGTTTCTTGTGTTTGAATTTTGTTGAGCTTTTTGAGTCTGCAGGTTTATAATTTTTATAACATTCAAACATTTGGGGGGCCATTGCTTCTTCAAATACTTTTTTGTCCCTTATCCTCTTTGGGGATTCCTATTACATGTATGTCAGGCTGTTTAAGGTCATAGCTCACTGATGCTCTGTTCATTTTAAAAAATTTTATTTCTTTGCTTCCTTTTGGATAGTTTCTGTTGCTAAGTCTTCTAGTTCACCAGTCTTTTAAATCTGTTGTTAATCCCATATAGTGTATTTTTTTCTTTAAATATTTTTTTCTTTATTATTTATTTTCACTGTACTGAGTCTTAGTTGTGGCTCACGAGATCTTTCTCATGGCATGGGGGCTTCTTAGTTTTGGCATACATGAAGTATCTAGTTCCCTGACTAGGGACTGAACCCAGGCCACCTGCACTGGGAGTGTGGAGTCTTACCCACTGGACCATCAGGGATGTCCCTCATCTAGTGTGTTTTTCATTTCAGACATTGAGATTTTCATCTTCAGAAGTTTAAATGTTTTTTATGGCACTTAACTTTTTGAATGTATGAAGTACAGGTATACAGAATACTGTTTTAGAGTCATTTTCTATTAGTTTTACATCTCTGACAGTCCTGGGTTAGTTTTAATTGATTTTTCTCATTTGGGTCATATCTTTGCATGCCTGCAAACTTTTGATTGGGTGCCAGATGTGTGAATTTTAACTAGTTGGATGCTGGATATTTTTGAATTCCCATAAAATACTTAGCATGTTATATGGGATGCATTTAAGAAATATGGAAGCCGATGGATCCTTTTTGGTCTTGCTTTTATTTTAGGGTTTGTTAAATGAGACAGCTGTATTTAATCTAGAGCTATTTGCTCCTTACTAATGAGGCAAGACTTGAGAATTACAGGGCTTTTGCAGTCTGACTGGAGGGAAGAGGTGCTATTCTTGGCCCTCTGTGAGCAGTGAGCACTCTTCCCTCTAAGCCTTTTGAGTGGCTCTTTCTCCAGCCTCAGGTAATTTTCTCATTCACATGAGCTTGTCAAGACTCAGCTGAGCAGTTGAGGCGGCCTGTCTGCGATCCGTGGTGTTCGTTGTCTCTGTAGCCGTCTCCTCTCAGGTGCTCTGCCCGAGAGTCCCGTTGCCTTGGTCTCCCTGACTCTCAGCTGTATTTTCTCAGCTCAGGGACTGTTGGCTCTGCCTGGGCTCCCCGGCCCTGTGCCTTAGCCAGTTAGCTGTGTCACCTGTAGGGCTGACCTCATCTGTTTTCTTTCTCTCAAGGATCATTATCCTTTGTTACCTGATGCCCAGTGTCTTGCAACTGTTGTTTCATAAAGTGTTAGTTGCTCAATCATGTCTGACTCATTGTGACCCCATGGACTGTAGCTCACCAGGCTCTTCTGTCCATGGAATTCTCCAGACCACAATACCAGAGTAGGTTGCCATTTCCTTCTCCAGGGGATCTTCCCAACCCAGAGACTGAATCCCGAGTCTCCTGAATTCAGGCAGATTCTTTATTATCTGAGCCACCAGGGATAGTAATCATCAAATAAATATGTCGTATTTTGTTTACCCATTTCCCTACTGATGGGCATTTAGATTGTTTCTTTTTTTTCATTTTGTAATTCCTGCTATAGTGAACAACCTGAAAAATGTTTTTGTGAGTAGTGTGCAAGCATGTCTCCAGGCCACAGTTTTTTGAACTGTGTCCATGACCCAATAAAGTATAGAGAAATCAATTTATTGCTTATGACCAGTTTTTTTTTAGATTAGTTTTTCATTTTATTTTTTAAAATTAATTAATTTGTTATAATTGGAGACTAATTACTTTACAATATTGTGGTGGTTTTTGCCATACATTGACATAAATCAGCCACGGGTGTACATTTCAGTTCAGTCACTCAGTTGTGTCCAATTCTGCAACCCCATGGACTGCAGCACGCCAGGCCTCTCTGTCCATCACGAACTCCCAGAGTTTACTCATGTCCATTGAGTCGGTGATGCCATTCAACCATCTCATTTTCTGTCGTCCCCTCCTACCTTCAGTCTTTCCCAGCATCAGGGTCTTTTCAAATGAGTCAGTTCTTCGAATCAGGTGGCCAAAGTATTGGAGTTTCAGCTTCAACATCAGTCCTTCCAATGAATATTCAGGACTGATATCCTTTAGGATGGACTGGTTGGATCTCCTTACAGTCCAAGGGACTCTCAAGAGTCTTCTCCAACACCACAGTTCAAAAGCATCAATTCTTCACCACTCAGCTTTCTTTATATTCCAACTCTCACACCCATACATGACTACTGGAAAAACCATAGCTTTGACTAGACAGACCTTTGTTGACAAAGTAATGTCTCTGCTTTTTAATATGCTCTCTTGGTTGGTCATAACTTTTCTTCCAAGGAGCAAGCGTCTTTTAATTTCATGGCTGCAGTCACCATCTGCAATGATTTTGGAGCCCAGAAAAATAAAGTCAGCCACTGTTTCCACTGTTTATCCATCTATTTGCCATGAAGTGATGGGACCAGGTGCCATGGTCTTAGTTTTCTGAATGTTGAGCTTTAAGTCAACTTTTTCACTCTTCCTCTTTCACTTGCATCAAGAGGCTCTTTAGTTCTTCTTCACTTTATGCCATAAGGGTGGTGTCATCTGCATATCTGAGGTTGTTGATATTTCTCCTGGCAATCTTGATTCCAGCTTGTGCTTCCTCCAGCCCAGCATTTCTCATGATGTACTCTGCATATAAGTTAAATAAGCAGGGTGGCAGTATACAGCCTTGACATACTCCTTCCCGATTTGGAACCAGTCTGTTGTTCTTGTTCAGTTCTAACTGTTGCTTCCTGACCTGCATACAGATTTCTCAAGAGGCAGGTCAGATGGTCTGGTATTCCCATCTCTTTCAGAATTTTCCAGAATTTGTTGTGATCCACACAGTCAAAGACTTTGGCATAGTCAATAAAGCAGAGGTACATGTTTTTCTGGAACTCTTGGTTTTTCAGTGATCCAGTGGATATTGGCAATTTGATCTCTGGTTCCTCTGCCTTTTCTAAAACCAGCTTGAACGTCTGGAAGTTTACGGTTCACATACTGCTGAAGCGTGGCTTGGAGAATTTTGAACACAGGTGTTCGTGTGTCCCCCATCCTGAGTCCCCCTCCCACCTCCCTCCCCATCCCATCCCTCTGGGTTGTCCCAGTGTACCAGCTTTGAGTGCCCTGTCTAATGCATTGAACTTGGACTGTTATGACCAGTTTTTTAAAAATAAGAACTAGAAAGTATTAGAGTATATATAGAACAGATAAAAATTAAGTTTCAGCTTTATGGATGTGTGTATTTGATTGTAATGCAAAATATATTTCTTACTGTGGGTTCTAGTAAAAAACATTGGAAAGTCCCTTAAAAGTGGAATTACTGGGTCTGAGAATACCCATTTCCTCTATTTCTCACTATTGCCAAACTGTTCTTGAAGGTTGTTAGGGCATTTTACTGTTCCACTACATGATATATGAATACCATTTCCCTCCAAATATCCAGCACTTTAAGTGTACATATGACTCCCACTCCTCAAAGAGCTTCTCTTTAGTATTTCTTCTTTTTCCCTCTAGTTAGCCTCATTTTTCTTATTAGCAGATGTCATGATTTTCTTTTTCATGAGATATAATTTGCCTACAATAAAATTCATTCTTTCAAAGTGTGTAATTCAGCTATTTTTAGTACACTTACAAGACTGTGCAAGTATTACCATCTAATGCCAGAACATTTTCATCACCCCCACAAAGAAACTCAGTCACGTCCCATTTCCCTCCTCTCCCAGCCCCTGGCCACAACTGATCTTTCCTCCTCCATGTTTGCTGTTTCATACAAATGAAATCGTATAAAATATGGGTCTTTTGTATGACCTCTCCCAGCCAGCCCAGTGCCCTCAAGGCCCTACCATGATGTAACATGTATTGAGACTTGACTCATTTCCATGGTAAAATAATCCAGTGTATGGATATATACTCCATTTTGTTTATCCATTCATCAGTCCAACAACATTTAGCTTGTTTCCATACCTTAGTTATTGTGAATAATGCTGCAGTGAATGTGGGAGTGCAGATATCTTTTCATTTATTGCAAGTTATATAAGGATGGTAGGTACTACATTTTTTTGTTTTAACATTTTACATAAATTTCACTTTTAAGGTGGGACTGGGTCATTAAGTTCTTTTTGGAAAGTATGAGGCTTCATGAAACCTAGTTATATAGAGTGAACAATAGCTTTGATTCTCTTGCTTTCATTTGGCATCTGTGGTGTGGTCTCTTTTTTGTAAAGATTGAAATCAATGTTTGTTTTTCTTTTATCAAATGACCAGAAAATCCTGTAAATTAAAGAGAAGTATTCAGCTTTGCAGGGAAATGCCAAAAAGGCCATGTGTTTTATTTTTATTGGATAAGGCCTGAGTTTAAACTAAGTCAATATTTTAAATTTGTTTTTCAACAACAAAAACATCCACAGGACTGGCTTGAAAAGTGAGCTAATTGGCTTCAACATTTGGCTGTCTTGATTGTTAGGGTGATTTTCCTCTCTTTTCGTATTGCTCTGTACACCTCTGTTCTGTACTGTCTGTCAGAGCAGATAATCTTTTCCAGCAAAGTTCTCTGGTCAAAAAAGCAAGGCATCTAAATACTTACCTTTATTGAAAAAAATCTGCATATAAGTGGACCTGTGTGTTTCAAACCTGTGTTGTTCACGGGTTAACTGTAATTGTGTTTTTCTGATAGAACCTACAAGCATGTGCTTCCTCCTTCTCACTTTAACATATTTTGTGTGTGTGTGTTTGTGTGTGTGTTTTATAGGTTGCAGTTGTTCTGATGGATACCCAGGGGGCATTTGACAGCCAGTCCACTGTGAAAGACTGTGCTACCATCTTTGCTCTGAGCACCATGACTAGCTCTGTTCAGGTAAAACCAGTTGACTAGGGAAAAATTTTGTAGAAGAAATAAGATGAAGAGGACACATCTAGTTTCAGCTATTGTTCTGTTGTCAGAATTCCTATGGTGATGTGTAAATGTTCTTTTTAAACTACAGATATAAGTGAAGCTCTTATAAGCTCAAGAAGCAGCCTAAATTATTAATATTTTTCCACTTCGGTCATAAATATATATAGTATATTCCAGGAAAAGTCTGAAAAGTGGAAATTGAAGTTAAATCAGTTGCATTATACAGGAAATGTAGATTTGGTGAATAAAGTAAGAAAACTGTATTTTAAACTATAAAGGAAGAATTATGTGATTTCAACCATATATGCATAGTTCTCCAAGAAGACAGATAATATTACTGTTTAAACAGACCTCGTATTCTTATATGCAGACCTTTAACTGTACAAGCTTCTGTTCACTGCTTTAGACTTACTTGGGAGTCATCTAAAGTAGAGTGGTAGCAATCTGAAATTTTGTTTTCTAGATTTATAATTTGTCCCAGAACATTCAAGAAGATGATCTTCAACAGCTGCAGGTATGTATTCCTTATAAAAATGTTAATAATGTCATTTAAAAGTTTTAAGGCCAGGGTGTGTTTTACAACTGAGTAGTTTCAGCAAAAGACTGACGTGTGGAGGAAGGTGCGGGTTCATGGTAATCCTTCACTCTGTGTATCTATGATTGGAGTGGTCAGGGATGCTCTTACTGAATCAAGCAGGGGACCAAAAAGAGTGAGTAGGTAAATCCTGTGGATATTTTGGGGGGAACGTGGTGCAGGGGAGGAAATAGCAGGAAGAAAGACCTTGAGGTGGAGTGTCCTTGGTGGGATCCAGGAATAGCAGGGAGGCCAGTGGGTGAGGTTGGAGGGTGAGACAGGAGAAGGGCATCAGAGAAGCAGGCACTCAGCTTCCAGTGATGCCCTGCTTTGTAAGGACGTGGGCTTTTCCTCTGGGTGAGATGGGAGCCATGTTTTCATGAGAGGAGTGATATTGCTTGACATGTGATAAAAGGATCATGGTGGCTGTTGTGTTTAGAGTATGTTTTAGAGGTGCAGTGATGCACTCAGTGAGAATGCTTATGAACCTACTGCAGTAATTCAAGTGAGGCTGAATAAATTAATATTTACCAAGGCACAGAGTCATTGCCTGGAAAATAGTATGTGCTTAACATGTGCCAGCTGTATTGTTATTAGTCATGTCTTCTCTTCTCCATAGCAGCAGTTCTTACACGTTTTTCCTGTAAAGTCCTCTTCATTGGGTATCCCAGAGTTGGATGCAGTCTGGCATGCTTCTTGAATTCTACTCATCCCACTGACATTCAAGAAATGTATCAGAATACGAGAGTGGGGGTGTCATTGATTACCTTGAATTAGTTTTAATTTATATTCCTTTTAAAAAGAACAAAATAATTCTGAAATTTTGGCTCTTAATATCACTGTTAGCAGTTACTTGTGCTTCATAATTGGTGGTTCTACACCAGTGCCATCATTCGGTTGTTGAGAGCTGTTGCTCCATGATACGTATCCATCAAAACTTGAGTTTGATACCTTTTCACCCGAAACTGACTCCTTTCTAAGCTCCTTTCTTTCGCACATTTTTTGGAATACCTAATTTGTGTGAGAGCTTCCCTGGTCGATCAGTGGGAAAGAGTCCACCTGCCAGTGCAGGAGACATGAGTTTGACCCCTGGGTCAGGGAGATCCCCTGGGTCAGCAAAAGGCAACCCACTCCAGTATTCTTGCCGGGGAAACCCCATGGACAGATGAGCCTGGTGGGCTACAGTCTGTGCGGTCTCAAAGAGACCCAACTGAGCAACCGAACAACAGCAACACTCAGTGAGAGGCAGTGGGCCACGTGCTGTGATAACACTAGTGTGTGAGCTAGACCTGATTCTTTATGGGTTTTGTAGTCCCGGCAGTGAGAGGGTGCAGAAACGACTAGGCATGAGTGATGCCTCAGGACTGCTGCACACACGTCACAGAGTGCCATAACCTGGGTGACTTAAAACAGTAGAAATGTATCATCTCTCGGCTGGGTAAGCTGGACGTGATATGTGTATATAATAATATATAAAGACTTCCAACCGTTTCCTTAGTCGTCAGCCCCGCTCCCTCACCTCCTCTTTCAGGGTAACTGGTGCTTTAATTTCTGCGCCTTTCAGGGATTCTGCTGAGAGACTCTGGTTGTTACTTTTTGGCCTCTGCCTCATAGATTTCTTATTCTTAGCGGGGTGGAGAATGCCAAAACCCAAGACAGTTCTCATTTGTTCTCCTTCCAGAGTGTTTGTGACAAGTCTTCTTTATCATGCCCTTTCTCTGCCTCTCTGTCCTGTGAGTTTGTGACTTTTGCACTTCATTTCGCTGTGCTTTTTGGTGCAGCTTCATGAAGAGATAGAGGTAAACGGGTAAACCCTAACTCTAAAGAATTCATTCATTGGGTCATTCAAATGGCATGCATCCTGCAGGTCTGGTATATGCTGTCCTCGGTGCCGGAGGTCCCATAGTGCTCAGAACATCCTTGCCCTCATAGACTTTAAATGCTAGTAGTAAAGACTGTTACTAATTAAGATAAGTAAAGGTATAGTGTATAGACAAGTGAGGAGAAAAATTTGAAAGGACATGGGATAGGAAATACTGGGTGGAGAGGTGTAACGTTTTTAGATAGATGGCCATGAGAAGCTTCATTAGAAAGGAATCATTGGAGTAAATACCTGAAGGAGCGATGTAGTTGTTCAGGTGTTTGGGGGAAGAACATTGCAGGCAGAAGGAAGCATCAGAACAAAGGCCCTAGGATGGCAGTGCACGCAGCAAGTTCGAGGAACATCAAGGAGGGCCAGTGTGGCCAGATCACACTGTAGGGTCTGGCTTTTATTCGCAATGAGGTTGAAGGGTTTCGAGTAGAGGCATCATGTGGTCTGACTAACCTTAACGTATAACAGAGCCACTGTGGCCGCTGTATTGAGGAGAGTCTGGGGCTGACACAGTGAGAAGCTGTCGCAATATTCTAAGCCACGTGGAAGTTGCACATGGTTGGATTTTGGGTTTGCTAATGAATTGGGATGAGGAATTTGTGAGAGAGGAATAGTCTAGATTATTTTAAGGTTCGTGATTCCTGTGGGAGTGTAGAATTTTGGCCTCATATAAATAGTATTCAGTCTGTTAAAAGAATTATTTGCTACAGAATAGTCATTAAAATACTTTATGTAATATTGCCTTACAAACCATAACTCTTCTTTTTTAAAGCTCTTCACAGAATATGGTCGTCTGGCGATGGATGAAATTTTCCAAAAACCCTTCCAGGTAGACTGTTAACTGTAAATATAAGTCACATCTTTGTTTTAGTTCATAGATGAGCAAACTATATAATCCACAGGCCAAATATGGCCAACTCTCTGTTTTTATATGACCTGTGAGTTAGGAGTGTTTTTTTTTTTTACTTTTTTAGATGGTTAAAAAAATCAAAAGAGGAATAATATTTCATGGTATGTGGAAATAATCTGAAATTTAAATGTCAGTTGGCCATAGTGAAGGGTTTATTGGAACACAGCTACACTCATTTGTATTGTCCATGGCTGCTTCTTGCTACAACAGTCTGAAATATTTACTCTCTGGCCCTTTACGGAAAACGTTTGCTGACCCCAGCTTTAGCTAACTGCTTTATGAGGATGAAAATGCACAGTAGCCTCAGTAAGATTAAAAGATCTCTAAGCATTGTTTTTATTTTAGTTTTTTTTCCCTGTCTGACGTTAACAGATCTCATTTTATGACTAGCTAGTGCTCTTTTTTTCCTTGTCCTTCACCTTATTCTTCATACTTGCCTTTTGAGCAGACCCCTGAATGTAGCATTTTCTCATCAGTCTGTTTTCATCAATCTCTTCTCTTAACCCATAAGGACAAAAATATCAGATGAGATATACTGACCTCACAAATGGCTTATGCATGTCCTTCTAGTCTTTATAGGGTTTCTAAGACATTACAGGGTAGGATTGGGTAGGTAAATCCTTTAGCACATTTTCTTGCCTCTTTTGAAGAAGCTGGCATTTTGCGAAGAAGTATTTCAATGGTTATTTTGAAAATATATTTATGTAGTTTTATAATGCATTCTGCTCTTTTTCTAAATAGACACTGATGTTCCTGGTTCGAGACTGGAGTTTCCCTTATGAATACAACTATGGATTACAGGGAGGAATGTCATTTTTGGAAAAGCGTCTACAGGTAAATAGAAATATAGTCTTCTGAGGAATTACCTAAAAGTAGTGATAACTTTCTCATTTGCCTTTAGCTACTATATTTAAAGGGATTCCCTCTTAGCTCAGTTGGTAAAGAATCTGCCTGCACTGCAGGAGACCTGGGTTCAATTCCTGGATCAGGAAGATCCTCTGGAGAAAGAAATGGCAACCTACTCCAGTATTCTTGCCTGGGAAATCCCATGGACAGAGGAGTCTGGCTGGCTATAGTCTGTGGGGTCACAGGAGGCGGACACAACTTAGTGACTAAACCACTCTCCACCACTGTATTTAAAGCAGATGATGGAAAATTACATTGTGTGTTAAACACTTAGGAATTATTAATTAGCACAAACTGATATTATTCATGGTAATGTTACAGAACCTGTGTATATAACTCACAGGGATTGGAGAGAAAAACCCCAGGCGAAAGCCCAAGCTTTGATTGCAATTTCCATTTCACAATTCACATTGAGTCCATATGTGCTTTTGGTTTCTGGTGTGGATACAAACAGGCTTAGCCTGTTTTCCAAAATTAAAACACAGTCAATCACTGCTCAGTGGTTCATGCCCACAAGCCTTTCCGTGTCCTTCGTGCCCACAAATCTTCCCTGATTCTTCCTAAGTCTTGTGCAATACTCTTTTAAGAAACTTTGTAGCACCTGTTCTTCGATAGCTCTAGGAGCCAAGCCGTAGTTAATCAAATTTATGCATTTATTGCTTCTCAGGGTTCTGAGTTTCCTCACTGGACAACACCTGGGCCACTATGATCTTTTAGAGTTTGAAAGTCTTCTTTTTGTCCTATACTAGTGAGTGCCGGTTAGGAAAAACACATGGTCGTTTGTAAATTGTTGGCCTTTATTGGCAGGTAAAAGAACATCAACATGAAGAAATTCAGAATGTCCGGAATCACATCCATTCATGTTTCTCCAGCGTCTCCTGTTTTCTACTACCACATCCAGGACTCCAGGTGGCCACAAGCCCTGACTTTGATGGCAAATTGAAAGGTGTGTTGCAAATGATGTTATTTATACATGTGATTTTTATCTTTGGAATTAAAAAGAGTGACCAGAAAATATCAATTGTGAACAGTAAGTCCTTAACAAAAATACTGTGTTCTTTTAGAAAGAATAGTGTTTAGAGTCTAGTTCAGTTTTTTTCTCCTACCTTAGTGTGACCATCAGAATTATATTATCTTAGTTTCTCCATCTGAAATGGTTGTGGTAATACCCATTAATGATCTTTCTAAGAATGATGTTGTGATTCCTGGTTTACAAGAGATAAAAATGCTAGATAAAGGAAGACTTAACATTAGTCAGCTCATTTTTATGAAGTAAAACTAAAGTCCCAAACAAAGGTAGTATGATGCATGGCATGGCTATTGTTTTCATCTTATTTGTGATTATAGCAAACTTGGTGCTGAGTCATGAGTTACTATCAGGAAGTGGTAACCAGATGGTAGCTTAGAGGAATCAGAGGTGGGACTCTTGAGTTCCATTGTCTTATTTTTGATCCTGACTCACTGAAACCTTGAGTCATTTAATGGCTAGTCCGCAGTTTACACATGGGTTTAACCAAGCACTCTCGTTTATAAATTAATCTGAGCTTCTTTTGTTGTTTTCAGTCACTAAGTCCAGTCTGACTATTTTTGCGACCCCATGGACTGTAGCCCACCAGACTCTGTCCAGGGGATTTCCCAGCAAGAATACTGGAGAGGGTTGTCATTTCCTTCTCTAGGGGATATTTCTGATCCCCTGAGATTGAACCCACGTCTCCTGTATGGGCAGGTGGATTCTTTATCACTGAGCCACCAGGGAAGCCCATTTGAGCTTCTTAGGTTCCTAGTAAAATTGAAATAATAATAGCTGCCATTTTTAGAGGCCATTTGTGTTCCCAGCTGTCAGTCTCTCCAGGGTGCTGTGACAAAATACCATAGCCTGGGTAGTTTATAAAAAACAGAAACTCATTTCTCATAGTTTTGGAGGCTGGATTTCCAAGATTTGAGTGCCAGCATGATCTGGGAACGTTGTCTTTCTGGCCTCAGAACTTCTGGTTGTATCCTCTTGGGGGGAATGGGCTAGGGAGCATGGTAGGATCTCTTTCATAGGAGCACTGATCCCACTTGGCTTCACTCTCATGACTAATCACTTCCCAAAGGCCCTGCCTACTAATACTATCACCTTTAGGGGTTAGAATTTCAACATGTGAATTTTGGAAGGACACGGACATTCAGACCATAGCAGCAACACTATGTGGAGTAGGAAATGGCAGCCCACTCCAGTATTCTTGCCTGGAGAATCCCAGGAACAGAGGAGCCTAGCAGGCTACAGTCCATGGGGTTGCAAAGAGTCAGACACAACTAGAGCGACTGAGCACCAACACTATGCTAGTTACTTTTATACTTAATGCTCCCAGTAATTCCATGGAACTGATATTATTTCCCTTATCTTACAAATGAAGAAACTGGCTTAGAAAAGGTACATAACTTGCTCAGAGTACTCAGCTAGTAGGGGGTGAGACAGAGACCCACATCCAGAACCTTCTTGCTCAAAGCTGTAGTGTGCTAGAACAGAAGTTCTGCTGTACTGGGCAAGTCACTTAGAGGATTTCCACTGCTTAGTTACTAGAACTTGCCTTGTGAAGTGGAAGTTTTTTATTACTTCGTATTAAACATAAAAGGCATAATTTACAATTTATGTAACTCAGTGGATTCAAGAAAGTTAATATGCTCGTTCAGCTTAAGATTTACAATCCAGCTGGTCTTACTATTGCAAAAAAAAAAAAAATTGAGTCTGAAAGACTTACCTTTACCTTCTGTTTGTCACCTGTGTGACATTTTATGTGGTTGGCAGCTTTCCTGAGTGGGAAACTTTCACAGCCTGTAGGTTGGCAGTTCAGAAACCCTAGGTTGGGGTCTGCCTTTAGAGAGAAATCTGCTTAGGCAACACTGGTGCTGAAACAAAAGCAGTTGTGAGTGAATTCTCTGAGTTGAGTAGGTAAGAAGGTTGAGTCTGTAGGTGAGGTGTTGTTTAGGATTTTAATGTTCCAGTATTAGACATGCATTCACCGAGTCTGAGCTCTGGTACATTCATTACTGGCAGGGAAACTCTCCAGTGGAATCTTAACTGAAGATGTTTAAGAGCCGGTGGGCGGGAGTGACTCCTCATATCTTCTGTCTTGCTTCAGGGTGGTTTCAGGTTATTGGGCATCAACATACATGATACACAAACATGACATTCCTCCATGTTATTAGGCATCTAAATATTTCAGAATATTCTGTTTTAAAGTTAATTTTCATCATGTTATTCTAGGAAACAGGAAGAGCTTTTTAAAGTTCTGTAACCTTGACTTGAAATTTTCTATCACTCTTGGGTATGTATTTTATGTTAGTTTCCTAGGAACTGCTGTAAAAAAGTGCCATAAACTAGATTTCTTAAGAAATTCATCCGCCAGCAGTTCAGGAGACCAGAATTCCAAAATCAGGGTGTTGTCAAGCTAGGTTCCTCCTAGAGGCTCTTGAGGGGAATCTGTCCTGTGCTCCTCTTGGTGGTTGTTGGCAGTCCTTGGCAGTCCTTGGCTTTTAGTTTCGTCACTCTGCTCTCTGCCTCTGTGGTCACATGGCCACCTCCCCTGTGTTCTCTCTTCTTGCAAGGGTACTGCTCTTTGAATTTAGGTCCCACTCGCATCCAGTATGATCTCAACTTTTACTACCTCTGTAAAGCCTCTATTTTTAAATAAGATCACATTCCGAGATTCCAGAGAGACAAGCATTTTAGCAGGGGACACTCCAGAGTACACAGATTTACAGATATGAAGGGTTTGTCACTAAACATTAAGGATGCTAAGCTTCATATTATAAAATAGGGAACAAATTCTATATAAGCAACCTTTAGTCTCATAATTATTCACTATGCATGATAAAACTGTAAAACACATTTTTAGGGTTAAAATCCTCTTTTGCTACATGGAAAGGCAAGTCCCAAAGGAAGAAATATAGATGGTCAAGACATAATTCATGAAAATATGTGTTGCCTAACTATAATCAAGAAAGTGCAGATGTATTGGTACAAATTTGTATAGTCTGTACCACAGTAGCAGCATTGTAAATCTTCACATCTTTTGATCCAATATTTCACTTTTAGGAAATTTTCCTTAGGAACTATCCATATATAAGTAGATAAAAATATGTGGACAAGAATAGTACCACTGCTGCATTATTATAATAGTGAATTATTGGAAGCCACCTAAATATATATTTCTGAGGAATTGTTTAATTACAGTACATCTCACAAAGGGATGAAAATAAATCATTTAAAAGGTAAAAGTAGATAGATGGCTATATCTGTATTTCCGTAGGAAGATGTTCATGATATGTTGTTAAATGTGGAAAGTACAGAGTAACATATATTGTATGATCCTAATTATTTAAAAGTGAATTTTTATGAGGTTGTTTTTAAAAAAGGAAGGATTTGAGAAATAAAAATTTCCTTTTTTATTTCACTTTAAAAATATGTTAATAGCTTGCCTTTGTGTATCTTTTAAGGGACCTGTAGTCATCAGGAGGATTGTTGATGAATTCTTGTTAGCTCTGCAAAGGTATATGTGTATGGGTATTTTGTAATTTTAGGGAACCTTTAAAACAAGATACTGAAGGATTTTGAGTGAAGAGCAAATTGAGGATGTTACATTGCAAATGGTGTGTGACTTGTGAATGTTTGGCAAGTGCTTGTTTGAGAACCACATAAACTTCATTGTGGGGGACCTTTAAGTAGAGTTGATAACATTTCTGAGAGTTAAAAAAAATTTCCTAGACATTGTATTTTCTCAAGCATATACTTGTACAGTGACTTGGTTGAGATCTTACAGCTCTGCCCTGTATAACCTAGATAAGACATTAGCCTGAGAATGTTTAGGGGTAATCCAGAAAAAGACCTTCATGTAGTTTTTGTAGAACATTTCAATTTATTAAGAACTGCATTCTGAAGCTGTTTCTGCAAATGTTCCCCTAATTACTTCAGGGATTGTTTTACTGGTCTTACTTTATTTTTTAAAAGAATAACCATTTATTCAGAGGTGAACACCTGCCAGACACAATCTTACTTATGGTATAATCAGTGCTAAGCTGCTGCTTCCTACAGTAGTTAGCTAGGAGATTAGCTCATTTTTGAGACTCCTTTTCATCAGACACAGGATGACTGTCATCACCATAAAGAAAACTCTTTTCCTTTTTTACTATAGCAGAGAGACCTAATACAATAACTACTGAGATAGTTAGCTAGAAATTAAACAGAAGACATTGTAGGGAGCAATCTTCTTGGACGCCATGAGATGTTGAGATTGTCTAAGTCATGTGACAGTAGTTCTTGTCTGTTCTTAAGTCTGAAACTCATATTTTGGTACAGCCTTCATAGAAACATTAATAGTTGAGGGTCTATTAAGTCTGGGTAAAACCCTGGACAATACCATTTGTGGTGTCTAGATCCTGCTGTGAAATATTTCTGAAGCTCTCAGCCTTTCAGTGTGATGACTGTTGAAACCTTTAAAAAAAGTTTTCTGAGTGGATAATGCAGTTGCATGTTTTAAATCTCCAAAAGGGTTAAAATGTATTCAGTAAAAAGTCTATTCCATTTTTGTAGGCTTCTAGAGTTTCTTTAGTATATGCAAAGCAAATATAAATATACATAGGATAGCATATTATTAATATGTACACTTACATGTTTTTCACTTCAGGGTTTTAAAGAATTTGTCCCACTTTTTCTTTCTTGAAATTTTGAGGTCCCATTTTTTCACATTATAATTTATAATCCAGTTTCAGTTCAATTCAGTCAGTCACTCAGTCGTGTCGATCCCAGGGACTGCAGCATTCCAGCCTTCCCTGCCCATCACCAACCCCCAGAGCTTGCTCAAACTCACGTCCATCGAGTTGGTGATGCCATCTAACCATGTCCTCCTCTGTCGTCTCCTTCTCCTCCTGCCGTCAGTCTTTCCCAGGGTCAGGGTCTTTCCCAGTGATCCAGTTTGGATCCAGCTTATTTTCCGAATGACTACTTATGCGTCTCAACACTGTCGAAGAGTCCAACTTGTCCTCACTGGTTGAAATGTCACCTTTATCAAATGTTAAATGTAGGGATCAACCCCTTTTTAAAGTTGGTATAGGGCCATATTTTGGTGCCATCCTGAGAAGACTATGGAATTAAGGGTATTTAGATGGAGATCGGTATCTGTTTATTTAGGTAGCTCATTAAAAAACAAACATTTTTTGATGTCAAGAGATCTTATGATTGATTATTTAAGATGGTGTAGAAATCAGTGATTAGAAGTATATGTTACTATTTAGAAAAAAAAGAATCTCATGCAGATTTCAGTTTATGAGCCATAAGTAAACTCTAATTATAAAATTGAAAGCATGGGGAAAAATTAATTTTATTTGACCTCTGGAATTGGGGAAAGACTCTTTAAAATTAGAAGCAATAAAAGAAATTATCAAGAAAAAGTGCTATACTTTTGAATACATAATAATCTTATGCATGCTTATAAAAAGGCAAACAAAATGGAAAAAAATTTCAGTTACCATAGTACACATGAAGAACAATATATCTATTTACTTGCTGAAGAGTGACTAAGATAAAGGCCCTAAAAGTTCACTGAAAAGGTAATCAGCTGATGAACAAATAGGGGAGAGAGTTTGGCCTAACAAGTAATAAAATAAATAAAAGCAAATTAGAATGATCTACCATTAAATTTTTAAATATGCTATTTGATATCCAAAGGAATGCATCAGTATTACATATAAGAAAGAATACACATAATGTATATATGTAAGGTATGAAATGTAATGAATATCATCAACCCACTACCCAACTTAATATCTGGAACTAGAATTGGCACACTTTCTGTAATGGAGTAAACAGTGAATATTTTAGACTTTGTGGGCCGTATAATTATTTAGCTCTGCTTTGTAGCAAGAAAGCAGCCATAGACAATTGTATTAATGAATGTACATGGTTATATTTCAATAAAACTTTATTTATAAATATAGTTAGCTATTATATTTGGCCCAAGGGCTGTAGTTTTCCAGTCTCTTATTAAGAACATTATCAGTGCTGTTTTCTATATTTGTATGCTTCTTTCCTTCTCCCTGCCTCGCCACAGAAATAACTGCTATTCTAAATTTTGCTTATTCTGTCCTTGAATTAAAAAAGTTACTACTTGTATGTGAAATGAAGTGAAGTGAAAGTTGCTCAGCTGTGTCCGACTCTTTGGGACCCAATGGACTATAGTCCACCTGGCCCTCTATCCGTGGAATTCTCCAGGCCAGAATATTGGAGTGGGTAGCTGCTCCCTTCTCCAGGGCATCTTCGCAACCCAGGGATCAAACCCAGGTCTCCCGCATCGCAGGTAGATTCTTTACCATCTGAGCCACCAGGGAAGCCCTTGTGTTTGATTCACTTAACAGTCTTTTGCTAAGTTTCTTCAATTTTTTTTTTAACTTTATAAAAATATAGTATGTGGCCAATTTACATTTTCACTGTGAGCTTTATTTTTTAATTTTTGTTTTCTTTTAAATTAATATATCTATTTTAATTGGAGGCTAATTACAATATTGTGGTGGTTTTTGCCATACATCAACATGAATCAATCACGGGTGTACATGTGTCCCCCATCCTGAACCCCCTTCTCACCTCCCTCCCCACCCCATCCCTCTGGGTTGTGCCAGAGCACCAACTTTGGGTGCCCGGCTTCGTGCATTGAACTTGGCACTGGTCATCTATTTTACATATGGTAATATACATGTTTCAATTCTATTCTCTCAAATCATTCCACTGTCATCTTCTCCCACAGAGTCCAACAGTCTCTTCTTCACATTTGTGTCTCTTTTGTTGTCTTGCATATAGAGTTGTCATTACTGTCTTTGTGTGCTTCATTTTTAAGGCTATCTGTATTATTGCATGTGATTGTAATTCATTCAGTTTCATTGTAGGATAACAGTGTCTCCTGTGAATATAACAGTTTATTCTCAGTGGAAGTTTGGGCTTCTCTAGTCTTTTTGCTATTATGAGTAGCACTGCTATTAACATTCTTGTGGATGTGGATATATGGGAGTTTCCCAGGTTATGTGCTTAAAAGTGGGATTGATGGATAATTGAAATATGTATACCTTCACCTTAGGTTATGCCAAATTGTTTTCCAAAGTTCTTATTCCAATTTACACTTCTTCATCAGTGTTATAAAAATTCCCATTGGTCTATATCCTTGGCAACACTTGGTATTAACAGCCATCTTAGTTTTGTTAAATTAGTGATTATAAAATAGTATCTCATTGTGATCTTGAATTGCATTTCTCTGATTACTAATGGGGTTGAATATCTTTTCATGTATTTATTTCCATTCATGTTTCCTTTCCTCTGAAATTCTTCTTGTCTAGTTTTCGATTGGGTGTTCTTTCTCTGCAATGTCAAGATTCTGTATGTCTGTTTTTAGTTGTGAACCTTGTATTCTGTCTTCCATATCTTAGTTTTCTTCCTTATTTTGCATCATCCGATCTCTCTGTGCTGTTCTTTGGTATATTATTCAGATCTTTTTTTTCCTCCAGAGGAGATTTGATCTGTGTTTGCTTCTTCGGGGAGCTAGGGGCTTACCAACCCAGGACAATTGCAGTCCTGTTTCAGGATCCAACTTAATTCGGGAATTATTTTTGCACAAAATTTGTTACCCTGTTATAGTGAATGGCCTCAAACGAGCCACAGCTTCACATTACTTAGCTCAGTGCTCTGGTTTCAGCTCACTCCCCACCTACTCAGCCCCTTGCAGCTCTCTTTGTAGACTTTGTAGACTCTCTTTGTAGACTTCCAAGTCTACACTGGAATAGAGTATCTTTTGCAGGATCTTGTTAGGAAGAAGATCCCGTCCAATTCTCTGATGTTTAGTACTGTCAGAAGCAGAAGCTGCAAGATAACGATTTTTTGCCAATCAAGTCAGCAAAGGTTTTAAAAACAATAAAAATCTCGTGCATTCATAGTAATGAACAAGCCTTCTCATGTGTTGGTGATAGGGATATAAGTTGGTACAATCTTCTACAAAAGCAGTTTAGCAATATATAAGAGCCTTAAAAAGGAAGGGGAGAATATTTTAAATGTTAATTTTGATTGTCTGATGGTGGGTTTTATGGATGGTTGTTATATTTTTTATTAAAAAATTTTTTTTCCATTTATTTTGATTAGTTGGAAGCTAATTACTTTACAATATTGTAGTGGTTTTTGCCATATATTTTTTAATAGTTTTGAATATTTTCCAGCAATTTATATTTTTCTCACATACCTAGTAATTCCTCTTAGAAGACCCTGTAATCTTTATAAATAAAATAACCTGAAGTTTTTCTGTGGAGATTTTTATGGTGATCCTTGTAGCTGGAAAAAATTTAGTAAACCACTTTTGTTTTATTCACTGCTCTATCCCCAGCTCTTAAAACAATGCCTGCCACAAAAAGGTGGTCAAAATCTGTTAAATGAATACATAAGACTGTCTCCATTTTGTAAATTTGGGTTATGCAGTGTTAAGGAGTTCCTACCTTTGTGTGGGTTCCTGTCTACTTTATTTTTAGCTGATAGTTTGAATTAGTTGAATTCAATAACTTGAATTATGAAGATGCTGGATCATATAAATCAGATTCCTCGCATATTCGTACTTGGGCCAGCTAGTTCTCACTTTGAGGAAAGAGCTCTGTTTAACAGCTTCCTGAACCCTCTGTGGGAACACTAGAGAAGCTGGAAAGAAGCTGTCATGTTTTCTGAAATAGTAGTCTTTTCCCTTTGGGGTGGCCCAGAGAACCTCTCTGAGGAGATAATAGAAATTAAATATCATGAGGTTCAGGTGCTTCTACTTCCTTTAACGTTAAAAAAATGAACAAAAGTAAAGCAAATGAATAAATAGTGATTTATAATGCTTTTAAGTGGGAGAGCAAGGGTGTGGCAAAGGCCTGGTCTGGGAGAACCTGAAGGGTTGATAAAGTTTTCCTGAAGATATATTAATGAAATTCTTTTTTTTTTTTAAGATTTTTTTTTTTTAATGTGGACCATTTTTGAAGTCTTTATTGAATTTGTTACAACACTACTTCAGTTTTGTGTTTTGGCTTTTTGGCCACAAGGCATGTGGGATCTTAGTTCCCCAACCAGGGATTGAACCCCCACCTCCTGATTGGAAGGCAGAGTCCTTACCACTGAACTGCCAGGGACGTCCCGTAAAATAAAAAGTAAAATTTCTTGGACGTGTAGGGAGTAGACATGAATCTCGCAGAGTGAAAACCAGGGTAGTGATATTCTGCATATTCTGTTATGAACTGCTGCTGCTGCTGCTGCTAAGTCGCTTCAGTCGTGTCCGACTCTGTGCGACCCCATAGACGGCAGCCCACAGGCTCCGCTGTCCCTGGGATTCTCCAGGCAAGAACACTGGAGTGGGTTGCCGTTTCCTTCTCCAATGCATGAAAGTGAAAAGTGAAAGTGAAGTCGCTCAGTCCTGTCTGACTCTTAGTGATCCCATGGACTGCAGCCTACCAGGCTCCTCCGTCCATGGGATTTTCCAGGCAAGAGTACTGGAGTGGGGTGCCATTGCCTTCTGCGCTGTTATGGACTAGAGAGGACTTAATACTGCGGAAAGGAAGGAGACCATACAGCTACATGAGAACAGAGACCCATCAGCAACCGGGTTATTGCCAGAAAGGGTCAGGCTTACAGTCTGGGACGCCTGCCCCTCTCTTTCAGGTAGCAGATGTTAGAACAACCAGATAGACTGAAGATTGTGCTTTATGCTCCCCTTGGTTGAATAAATCTGTTTGGCTTATTGTTTCCTTTTTCTTGGTCCTGCGAACAGACATTGCCAGTGAATTCAAAGAGCAGTTACAGACACTGATCCTGTATGTATTAAACCCAGCCAACTTAATGGAGAAGGAGATCAATGGCTCAAAAGTCACCTGTCGGGGACTGCTGGAGTATTTTAAGGTAAATATGGGGTTTTCATTATTAAAATATTTGACTCTTGGTGAAACTGATAAAGGTTATGAACTCGGTTCAGGTATTTTAAAGCTTGGGGAGTTGGAAGGAAAAGCCTTTTCAGACTGCAGTGTCCTTCCAGGAGTGGGCCACTGGGTGGCAGTATTGGTCTAGGCACCAAATGGATGTTCTCTGCACTCTCTTAGAGGAGTGGTTACTGTGGTAAAGGAAGACTGTTCCTCAAGGACGATGGTGTGGAGAGGAGGTGGTTAGGAAGTGCTGTGAGTAGCAGACGGCACCTAGATGTGACACGACTACCTCACGGCGGATGGGCACTCTGCCCACAGGCAGTGGTGAGGCCAGCGTGCATGCGGAGTCTGGCGGGAGCCGTAGCCTTGGTAGGCGTGTGCTGCTTTGAGAATATTTTTAGTTAACTAAAAAAATGCTAACATGCACTCAGAGGTGTGCTGTGTTTTTGCTAATTCCTGGGTGTGGATCTAGGTCTTTAGGAAAATGGTCACTGTTTCTGAAAAGTAAGCTGCAGTTAAATATGACGAATGGCGTTTTTCATAATTTCTCTTATGTTTATATTCTAAGGCATATATTAAAATTTACCAAGGAGAAGATCTGCCTCACCCCAAATCCATGCTTCAGGTAAGCAGTTCTTTGACAGTCCTGGTAGTTCCCCTTTTCTTTTTTTTTTAAAACTTGGTATTTACTTTTGGCTGTGCTGGGTCTTCGTTGCTGCCCGAGGGCTTTCTGGAGGGGGCTACTCTTCGCTGCAGCGCGCTGGGCGTCTTCCTGCAGTGGCTTCTTGCTGCAGAGCCTGGGCTCGGGGCGCGCGGGCTTCAGTAGTTGTAGCGCACAGGCTCATAGCATGGGCTCAGTAGTTGTAGCACACAGCTTAGTTGCCTTGTGGTGTGTAGAATCTTCCTGGACCAGGGATCGAACCTGTGTCCTTGCATTGGCAGACAGATTCTTTACCACTGAGCCAGCAGGGGAGGCCCCCCCTTTTCATCATGCTGAGGTCTGTTCACGTCTAGCATGTTTGCAGCAGTGTGACTAACTTCTGATCTTCTTGTCTGTATTCCTGGTGGTGGAGTTAGAACAGAACAGCTTCCCCACAAGTGTACTGTACCCAGGTTAAACATACCCTATTCTGTTAGACAGATCATTCTCCTATTGCCTGTTTGTTGTCTATTTTCATAAAACATGTCCTGACTTATCTATTTACTAATCAGGTTTTTCATTTTCAGCAAGTTTTGTTATCAACATTTTGATGTTTTCAAGATGTCATTTTGTGAATACATATGATTTCTGACTTCCAGGTGCTGAAGATAAGGTTGTTTATTGCCACATGTTTATTTCTTTAGTAGACAAACATTTTCACAAAGGGAGTTAGCATGTGGGATTGGTATTGTAAAGATGAATTTTTTCTCTTCTGAGTTACATCTATTTCTTAACATACAAAATTGAAGCAAAGGAAGTATTTTCAGAGGTTTAGTTTTATGACAAAGATTCTTATGTATGAGAACATTTTTTGGCAGAAAATCTGGCAGAAAAGGTGTATTTTATTTAATCAGTTGGACTGTGTGGAAACCTGAAAAATAACAGAAGAATCATAAAGAAGGAAGAATGGGGAATAGAATGAAACAAAACTTCTGTTTGGTTATTTGTGGAAGAGTATTAAAAGAGAAAGGATTTATAGTTTGTGGTGTTCTTTCTTAAAAGGCCACTGCTGAAGCCAACAATTTAGCAGCTGCAGCCTCTGCCAAGGACATTTATTACAACAACATGGAAGAGGTATGTTGGTCATAAGTCTTACTCTGAAATATCTAACCTGGGCAATATTTTTAACTTCAGATGTCCCAGCTTGATCCTGCTTAGTGTATCTTATGATGATGAGGCAACATTCAGGTTATCCTGGTTATTGGGGCCTTTTAATTATGACCCTTTCTAAGCAAGACTTCCTTACAGTGTCACTGCTCTCACTGATCAGTGTCACCCTGGTTCCTAAGTGCGCTTTTCAGAAGAATTGAACCCAGACTTTTATTGATCTTAGTCATCATTTTAAAGTTCATTTCTAGTATCTTAAAATTTTCTAAGCTTTTCAGCGTTTTTACTTGTTTTATTTGGCACTTGTTTCTGAAGGATTCTTTACCGTGTTCTGTCTTTATTCTTGTCAGGTTTGTGGGGGAGACAAACCGTATTTGTCTCCAGACATTCTAGAGGAGAAGCACTGTGAATTCAAACAGCTTGCTCTGGACCATTTTAAGAAGACGAAAAAGATGGGCGGGAAGGATTTTAGCCTTCGTTACCAGCAGGAGCTGGAGGAGGAGATCAAGGAACTCTATGAGAACTTCTGCAAGCACAACAGTAGCAAGAATGTCTTTAGCACGTTCCGAACCCCTGCAGTGCTCTTCACGGGCATCGTGGCTCTATACATCGCCTCCGGCCTCACTGGCTTTATTGGTCTTGAGGTGGTGGCCCAGCTGTTCAACTGTATGGTTGGACTGCTGTTAATAGCGCTTCTCACCTGGGGGTACATCAGGTACTCTGGTCAGTATCGTGAGCTGGGCGGTGCTATTGATTCCGGTGCAGCGTATGTGTTAGAGCAGGTAAGTGGTGCCAACCCAGGAGGCTGACGTTTGGTAACAGATAGATATCCATGCTTCTATTGTAAAATATCTCGATTTGGAAGAGTTCAATAGTGATAGAAGGCATGAGAAACATGCCTTTTTTTTTTTATGATAGGCCTTATGTTTTATTATCGTTCTTTAGGATATTAATGTTTATTCCTAATATTTTGTTTCCATGCCTAAAACCTGTTCATTAATGCAGAAAAATTTCCAACTTAACATACATTGTATTCTTCACGGGAAACTTTTAAATACATGTTCATCAGATATAATTCCTGTGTGATTATCTCCCACATCCAAGGTTAGTTTGCTTCACTGAAAGTCATGAGCTTTGAAAAATATGAATTTAGCAAAGTGCTCTGTTTTGAGATCTGCCAGTAGATGGCATCTCTTTCACTTACATCAGTTCATCAAATCAGTGGCTTTTGATATTACATGATCTCCAGGTTTACAGATTTGAGACTCTGCTTTGTTTTTCTGAGTAGCAGGAACAGATTAGTTAAGTTAGAAGCTTGTGGTGAATGCTGGCGAGCTGCCCACCCCCTAAAGGTTCAGCTGACCTACTTTCTGGGCATTAGCAGCTGCCACAGGCTCCCTGACCCCTGCATTTTCATTCCCTAATTTTCAGTCTCAGTGTAGACAGAGATTTTTGAAAGTTTGTCTGTAATGGCTTGCTCTTTTGACACTGTGCTGTAATTTTATTAACTGACATGTTGAATAAATGGACTTTTGCAGGCCACTTCTCACATCGGTAATTCCACTCAGGCTGCTGTAAGGGATGCAGTTGCTGGGAGACCACCCTCGGATAAAAAAGCTCAGTAGCATCCTAATGAGAGGATCAGACAAGAACCCTTCTAGCTCCCTCTGATTTCTGGGCTTCTGCGACCGCCACAGGCCCAGGTCTCCAGGAAAGCAGACCCGGGACCATCTGGGAAGAGCTGAAACATGGCACTAATAAATGAACAGACCTTTCCTGTGGTTTCAAATTCTTAAACACACTTCCATTTCTCTTGGAAGCATTTCTTTTCCTTGCTGGTGTAGATCCAAGCTTGAGTCTGTTTTCTTATTACTCTCTGCTTTGTGCACTTTATGGGGGAAAAAGCTAAAAGAACAATGGAAATGCTATTTTCAGTCCTTTATGTGCCGCTTAGTGCCTTTTAAGATTGAACTCATGCTTTCGAGGACTTGATCGGGAGGAAATTGAGGACACTCACACGAAAGATGCTGTTTTGAGGTGAATTGTCAGTTTGTACCGTACTCTTTTTGAGAAGGATTCCTTTTTTAAAAGTTTACAAAACTTGGCAAAAGCTTCAAAACTAACGACTGACTAAAAATGATGCTATTACAGTTTTTAAATCTTATGATATTAGAGAATTGTGTTTGCCACATAATATGGAAAAATTGTATTTAAATCTACCATACACTGAAATTTAATGTCTGTTTGTTGACAGGCTGGCAGTTTTGTTAGAACATATTCTGTTTTTTTTTTTTTTTGCCTTCATTCATTCCTGTAGCTTCTTTCTAGAAAAGAGGCAAACATGCCTTGAAAAACCAGAGCTGCTCATAATAAAAGGAATGAGTTTAATACTTCAAGGAAAAAACTTGAGTTTAAATGAACCATGTGACCTCTGATAAGTCATCTGAACTTGTGCCTTGGTCAGACTCGCTGATTGTAGGTTTCTATCTATACATATGTGTATTGTACGTAACTCACACACAATTGTCATTCATGAGAACAGAACTTTATCAAGGACTAGAGGAAGGATTTTTACCAAACATGCTGCCTTTAATTGATGTCCTGTTTCATGTGGCTTAGCAGTACATCAGGTCTTTATCCACAATGTTTATTTGCAGTCTCCTATTCATGGTCTGATATTTTTAATAATGAAGCTAAAACTGTCAGTTTTATTTAGTGAATCATCCTTTACTTAATTTTATATGTGACTAGTCTGGTAGCTTTAAAGTATCTTTGGCTTAGTAAGGACCAAGTCCCACCCAAGTATGGATATATAATATCTAGAAAGTATCTAAATTCTTTATTTACCTTGATTGTATGATAAAAATTTTTGTCTATCAGTTGCCTTTTCCTTTGTTTATCATGGTGAATTGTTTTGGATTTTAAAACTTCATACAACTTGCCTGCAGGTATTTATATAAGCATTCAGGTATATGAGCCTTAATTCTTAAGATAATTTTTTTGTTGTGGGAGGGAGGTAGGGAGTTTTAGGCAAATTCTGAGTGTTAAGTTCTATAAAGGTGAAGTATGAATGGATGGTGGAAAAAAGTATTTTCTGGTCTGTCATCTTTTTATCAAAGAGTATTTCTCTTGACTATTTTAACACTTTACCACTCAAGTATTTTTGTAAGTTTTGAATTAATTCTAAGTGTTTAATGTATTTTTCATATTTACATACCATCTTGCTCTGAAGTTCTTGCTATTTTATTCAGTCATGGTTAAATTTTAGAAAAATTCCAACTTGATCTAAAAACTGTTTACTTGCATATCAGTAATACTTAGCTTTATTAAATTAAAACCTTAGTTTTGAAATTTTGGTGCATTTTCAAGTGGCCTGTCATCTTCCTGAAGATTGATACTTATTTGCTAAAGGCCTTACAGATGTTGACATACTTAGCTTTTAATGCACTTGTATAAGCATGTTTATAGATTTCAGAAGAGTTGTCTAGAATTATCCTACTTTTAATGGTGAGAAAAGGATGCTATGTTTAAAACTTATTTCAATACTAAAATACTAGATTTTTAAAAAATAAAAAACATGCAATCATGTATGATTTAATGAAACCTTAGAATTTAGTTACTGTTTAAATTCACCAAATTTCTATTTTTTGATCATAAAGGAGTAACTTTGTTTAATTACCCTGGAGAAACCTTTTTTTTTTTTTTGGTCTTACTTATTCTGCCTCTGGAAATTGTTTATAGTTTTCTCAGTGAGGATTTTTATGAGTTTTCCTTTGCCCTCTCTAATTTTTTTTTTTTTTTTTAAGAGAATTGATGACTTCATATCAACTTTTCCAATGAAAGGTGCGTTCTCATTGCTGGCTGTAAGCAGTCCTGGGGAGGTTTATGACCAGGTTGAAGAGAATGCCTTTCTCCTCTTACCCGCCTCAGCTGTTGGTTTGTGGGTCAGGGACGATACTTGGGACGGTACTTAGGACGGTGAGGTTTGCCGGCTATTTGTTTCTCTGGCACTCCTGCCTTTCCACACAAGGAAGCATTTTCAGTTTGCACATTCCTAAGAGTATTTGGGGCACATTCCCTACTAACATATAAAAGATTTTCAGAATTTTCTATGAAAAGAATTCATTTTAGGAGAAGTTAAATGTTGTTTTTTTTTTTTTTAATACTTCCCGTTAGCTTCCAAGTAAAAATAATAGAATCAAAATCTCAGTCTTTCATTGAGGACTCTTTCTAGATTGGTGTGTAGACAAAATGAGGGAAAACTATCATGTAAGATGATGAAATAGCCTCAGAATCATACCTTATTTTAGCAGTATACCAAGAAAGCTGTCGCATGGCGGTCTCTGTAGTTTCACATTTGGTAGAGTTGCTTATGAGTATTGTTTTTGTTTTACCTGGTCTTTCCTTTTTTTCTCTTTCGTGAAGTAAAATGCTTTAGGTGAACAAACAGACAAACTGCCTTGTACTGGCAGTGCATTTAACAGGTTATACCCAGCGTTCCACCTGGCTTATGAAAATGGTGTCTTGGATAAGTATGTATGAGTTACAGAAAAATTACGTAGTTGATTTAAGTCCAGGCAAAAGTGATTAAAAAACAAATAGTTTTATTTTTCCCTGTTTTTTTAAACAAAATAATGTAACTTATATGGATATCTTAATAGAGCTATTTTTTCCCCCCATGGAACTATTGAAATGTAATTTAGGATTATTTAGGATGGCTGCCATCTAAGGTAGCCAACACAGGTTGCATCATTTGGCTTAATGTTTAGATCCATCAAAATTTTAGTCAAGGAATAGGGGCATAGTGAAGAAAAACTTCAGTTACTAACATACCAACTATTTGTGTAGGTGGTGTTTTAAAATGACATTCCAAAGCCCACTTGTAAGAGACTATTTGCAGTTGAATAGTTTTCCTTCTGTGAAGTCATATTGTAACTGTGTCTTGAATGGTGGCTGTCTTCTATCTTGACCTGCATAAAACAGCCCTGGGAAGCATGTTTAAAAAAATTCAGATTGCTAGCTTTGTACCCATCGATTACCCCAGTGGATCTGGGTCTGGGTTGTGGCCCCGGAATCACCACTTTTAAAAATAGCATCACAGGTGGTCCAGAGACCACAGTGGGAGAGACTGATCTGAGGGATGGGAAGTGCAATTCAGTGCTGCCTGAAGGCAAGTGGACACCTTTCGCCTGAGCTTCAGAATAGGTGGTCTCCTGCCAGATACAGTCACTCAGAGTTTAGTGTTAGGAGTAACAAGGATGCATTTAGTCCAGAGCTCTGTGAAAATGTTTCTGTAAATTAGAAAGTCCTAGTGCCTTCTCTGAAAAATGAATGTACAAGTATCCTATTTACCAATAGGTGTTCTTAGGATTAAAAAAACTAGTTTGAAAGTCGTTTTTCTTTGAAAAAGCAAAAATTTAGCACTGTGACTTTGAACCTCTGAATCTTTTCATGCACAGAAAACCATAAGCCATAAGTAAAAATGAACAAAAACGACAGAGAGGATCATAAATTTGAAAATTAGTGACAGAGTACCCCTTACCAGGGGCTTTCAAGATTAATCTAAGGGCAGACAGATTTTAGAAGAAATTTTTCTTCTTGGGAAAGGAGTCTCACATGCCAGAACTAAGATTATAAATATAGTGTTCTTATGACCAGGGGAAGATGCATCTGATTCTCAAAGTGTTCCAAATTAGATACATAAATGCTGTCATGGACTTAAGCCTTAAAGGAGTTAATACTAATTTTGAGCATATACAAATTTTCTTCTCTGATTTCTCTTTCTTTAAAAAAAATGATTTGTTAAAAGCACTTTCTTCCTCCTAGACTTTTTGAATGGCTTTAAAATTTAATATACTTTTTAAAAAGTGCAATGGATTAGATTATGCTATTAGTATATCAAAAGCATGTTTCTGTTTCTTAGTTTTAAGGTCATTTAATGGAATAAAGATCTCAGCACCGTGTTACTTGTGTTTTTCCTTTCTCTTTAATATGGGAAGATGTGTTAAGTAGATTTGGGCTTGGTAAAGTGAATAGGATCTCTAAGCGAATGAAAACTTGGTGTCAAAGGTGGCAGTGGTCATGTGGTTTGAGTGAGTCAGCTTTCTCTGTTCTGCAAAATAATACCGCACTAGTATCTTAATCTCTAGCATAATGCCAGAGAAAGCTGTGCTGTTGACAGTATTGCATAAAATGAAGCACAGATTTTATAGTTACATGGACTTGTGAGGACCTTTGAGTTTGGAGCACTTTCATTTAGTTGCCCAATCTGGAGCCAACTGGTTAAATGGTTCATCTCTGGAAGTGGGGTGAGGTAAATACAGCTCTACTGAAAGCTTTCCTTTTCTTGGTGACCTTGGAGGCAGTGAAGAAGTTGTTTGAACTCAAATATTGACTGATCACTTTACAAACCCCATTCAGCCCTACTAAGATTTCTTTCCTAGTTTGAAACATAGACTGGATGGGGTCAGTAGCCAACCAGCCAGCCAGGCATCCCTGATCATACCAGGCTGGGTGTTGCACTGAGTTCACAGTTTAGGAGGAAAGGGGCAAACTCACAAGTTAATGTAATATGGAGAGTATGGGGAGTGTTGATCCCTCCGTCAGTGTAAGCTGGGGGGCAGAAAGGAGCAGGGTGGGGAAAGTGGTCATGTGTGGATGAGAAGTCAAGCAAACTATGCATTCTCTTTGGTGCATTGTTAAGACACTTTTGCCTTTGATTACTATTAAACAGTTTGCCAAAGCTAAGTCCAATGCTGATTAGCTTAATAATTAAAAAGAATATTTTAAATGAAGCATTTTCTTGTAACTGGATATCTAGAAGTTACACTGGCGTGAATCAGATGTCAACAGGACTATTATTTCCTGTCTGCAGTGGCTGCATCTCTTCCTCTTGCAGGTAGATTTCTTCCACGCTGCTGAGGAGGGCAGGAACAAATGGTTCCAGGCTTACACCATTCTACTTTACTGTCCCCAGAGGAAAGAGGATTTTTGACCCATTGCCTATTACAAGGTGTGTGTGTATTTTATATACATAAAACCTCCATCCTAGAGGAAGATTCTGACTGGTCTGCCTTGGGTCATATGCTCTTTCCAGGGTCCCTGGCTGCCTTGAGGGCTGGGGCACGATAGAGAGCCAGACGTAGGTCACATGTGTCCCTACTCAGGGTGATAGGGGGTACTGTGACTCGTGGCTCCACCAGAACCAAGCAGAGTCACCAAATGAGAGAATGCTGGCCAAAAGCAAACGTCTTCTGCAGTTGTCAGTTCCCCAGACTGGCCATTTAGTGGAATGAGAGCCTGGAACATCTCGGGAATGTGCTTTTAAGGGGAAATAGAGGTGGTTATGCCACACATTTACTAGTGGAAGCTCTTCAGGGCCTCTCAATAGGGGTTTATTCTCACCTCTTCAGTAGGGTTTGAAGGGTTGCAGACCTAGGCAATTCATGAGGAAGTTACACTTCACCTTCCTTTCCTAAAAGCCTGATTTTTCTGGTCAAAGCAATCTGTCAGTCAGTGTACTTACATCGCCTGCCCCGAGTGACGTGGATACAGATCAAAAGCCTATTCACTTGGCTGGTGGGGTACCTTTCCCCCGAGGAGCGATCTGGTCTGGAGTTGGTGTTTCGCATCAGAGCTTTCATGTTGTCACATAATGCTCTGTGGATTCTGCTCCCTTATATGCAGTTTGTCTGCCCACACTTCCTCCCCTCTGCTGCTCTCCTCTTGCCCTGGCGCTTGCTTCTCATACCTGCCCCACCTGCTCAGAATCCCTGCAGGGTCTTTTAGGTCCGCTCTGCGTATTGTACTGTAGTTGCCAAGTCGTGTCTGACTCTGTGACCCTACGGACTGTACCCCACCAGGCTCCTCTGTCCATGGGGTTTCCCAGGCAAGAATACTGGAGTGGGTTGCCATTTCCTCTTCTGGGGGATCTTCCCCACCCAGGGACTGAACATCTGCATTGCAGGTGGATTCAGAGTCACCAGGGAAGCCCTCTTGGCATGTAACCTTGTGCCGTTTCCTCCCACTTTCTCAGTTACTCCTTCCTCAGAGACAGCGCAGCAATGGATTCTCCTGGAGGAGAACCCTCAGCAGGCAGAGAAGGGAGAGATGGCAAGTAATGAAAAGTTAATATTTTCCATCTGTCACAAGAAGAATGGGCCTCCATAGCTGTGGCTGCAGAAAAGACCGGAAGGGGCTTCGTAGGCAGATAGCAGTTTGATCCTGGCTGTTTTGAACATGGCTGTCCACTCACATTATGGTGATGGACTTGGAATGGGGCTTAAGGACAGACTGCCTTGCTGATGATGGTGGTGGCAACAGGTGGTAGCTTCTCTTGGGGACTTCCCTACAGAGCTCCACTTTTGAGAGCTGTGTGAAAGGAGAAACCAAACTTCCTGACATCCCGGCCCTTTAGCAGGGATATTGTTTTTCCTGGCACAGTCACAGAGGGAAAAGAAAAAAAAAGTGACATCTGGGCTGATTGAAAGCAAAGATTAAGGAGAGGCAGGAATAGGTGTGGTTTCCTCAAAACCAAAACTTTCCATCTGGGTTTGGATGGCCTTAGAGATAATCTCTTGCTCAATATACATAATATGATTTGTTGGGTGAGTAGTATGCACATAAAACTTTGGTGTTTATTTCAGTACCTCTGACCTCCTTGCTGGGAAGCTGGTTTGTGGATAAGCATGTACTTTTCCTCCTAACAACAGCCAAGAGGTCCCCAGTGAGGACTTGCCCCAGGCCAGACATCAGGCTCCCACTTTATGTATATGCCTGGCTTCATCTGTTGCTCTCCCTTTGGGGAATGCACTTTTGTTGTTACATTGTGTACATGCTCAGTCCTGTCAGACTCTGCAACCCCATGGACTATAGCCCACCAGGCTCCTCTGTCCATGGAATTTTCCAGGTAAGAATATTGGAGTGGGTAGCCATTCCCTACTCCAGGGGACCCAGGTATCGAACCCATATCTCCTGCATCTGCGTGGGCAGGTGGATTCTTTACCACTTGAGCCACCTGAGAAGCCTATCTGACAGCAAAGCCGTATATGTTTTTATACATTATCTTACATATTGTACAATATCACCACCACCCCAGTTTGCAGATGAACAAACTGAGGTTCAGAGAGGGCAGGGTTCTCTTGACTCAGTAGGTAGCTAGGTTCAGGATTTGGCCAATGGGTCCTGATTCCAAGCTCAGCAGCGAAGGGTCAGGAAATAGTGATATACCAGAACTGCTTTTACCCCTGTAGGGTCACAGCCCAGTGCACAAGAAGGGTCTGTGTTTGGTCATTCATTCCTTCACTCGTGATATGCCTACCATGTGCCAGGTTGGTGCCAGATTTGGGGGATATCTGATGGCTTGGGACCCAGTAGTTAAAAATACTTTCTCTCTGCTAGGCCCTTGCCTTTAAATGGCTTTAAAAATTAATATACAATCCCCCGTTATCCTAGGAGGATGTGTTCCAAGATCCCCAGTGAATGCCCCAAACCGGAAGTCCGGAACCCTAAAATAACCTCAGCTTATCCATAATTCTGTTTCTCCTTATTTTTTTACCCATCAGAGGGCAGATAGAGAACTCGTGGATAACGGGGGTCTAAGACCGTGATGCTGGGAGGGATTGGGGGCAGGAGGAAAAGGGGATGACAGAGGATGAGATGGCTGAATGGCATCACCGACTCGATGGGCATGAGTTTGAGTAAACTCCGGGAGTTTGTGATGGACAGGGAGGCCTGGTGTGCTGCGATTCATGGGGTCTCGAAGAGTCGGACACGACTGAGCGACTGAACTGAACTGACTGACGGTAGTTTTAAACTACAGGATAAGCCCACTTGAGGGGATGAGCAAATTGATTACACTGCAGTGCGATATGTATAGATAGGTATACGAGATCTTAAACTACTGAGGGTGGGGTAGCTTCTAGCTGGGTTCAGGGGCCTCCTCTGCTTAGGGGAGGGTGTGCGGAGAAGGTTCGGGATGAGCGGAAAGCATCCTGGCCTGTCTCCCCCAGACGCTGGAGCAGGCTGTCCCTGTCGCCCTGGGGCGTGGAGCTCTGCGAGGCTCTAATTAGTCACACGGGGAGTGGCCGAATGACCTCACGCTGACCTGCACTCTGAGGCCATTTAACTGGTTCCCTTCTTGGTGGAGGCCGCTACTGCCTTCCACGTTCGCGAGGTGTGTGGAGCGGTACTTCCAAGCTCCTAAGGAGGGTGAGACGCTTGGGGTGGCTCTCCCGGTGTCCCAGGCTGTGTGGGGGATGGAGAACTTGGCTGAGACTGGAGTAAACAAATTAGTTCGGTTTAGCTGTGCACGCGCGCGCGCGCGGCGCCACGGACTTTCTGGGGCGTGGCCGCCAGGGCAGATGACACCGATCGCGCTCCCCGCCGCTGCACCGCCAGTCTCTCCGGTATCAAGTGAACCTTCCTGCCCGCCTTGCGAGGGTTCGTGGCCAGGTGCCGGGGCTGGGAGGGGGCCGGCAAGGAACTGGAACTGAGCGAGCGGGTTGTTGCCGGAGAATTTGGAGATCAACTAGGCACGATCTCCTCCGCCAGAAGCCACTGGCCCCTGGGGTCTTGGGGACGCGGTTTCTTATTACTGACGGTGACTCCCCCTCCCTCCTGCCTCAGGCATTACACAGCTGATAAAGTCTACTCCAGATTGAAATCGAGGGCCCCCATCACCCAAGAAGATGCGTGCACCGTTTGTAAGTAAGGCAGGCGTGTGCGGGCTGGGGGTGGGGGCCGTGTTTGGGTGGGTCTGAGTCATCAGAGAACGGGTCCTGGAGGATGTGCGGGCCACACCTCCATTGGCCGGTGGGCACCAGGCGGGAGACGGTCAGTGGTTAGAGTTGTCTTAGTGTGAGTACTTGTGTGGGTAGGTCGTGTTTGCCTGAAACAGGAGCGGGGCCAACCGGAGCTGGGAGGCAGCAAGGACAGACTTGCTCCGCCTAGGTCCTGTCTGCCTTCCTGAGTCAGACCAGAGCGCCTGGAAGGGCCCCTGGAGCACAGTGTCTGGGGCTGCACCTGCTGCAAACTCTCCCTCCCCGCCACCGCCTGGATTTGACCACAGGGGCGTTTTTCTGGCCTCGGCTGAGACACTTCATGGCGCCCTGCCGGCAGTTTACCAACTTTCACTTTCCCAATTTCTGATCTGTGATGTGGTTCAGAAATCATAAAGGGGCTTATCATATGCTTCCTTTCAACCTAGCAGGACCCTCTGCAGAGAGGTTCGAGCATGGCTTTTGAGGAAGACACCCCTGGGATAATGTTCACGATCGTGTTCCCTAGCTGCGGCACTTTGATCACGTTTCCAATCCCACAGTGACGATTATGTGACTTAATACTTCTGAAGTGCTCAGAACAGTGCTTCACACACATATTAAGTGCTCACCTGTAATTCATTGTTGTGATTATGATTATTGTTTAATCCGTGTAAAGAGCTTAAGACAGCACCTGGTATTAGGGTGTACCTGGCATATTTGATGCCGGGAGTGGTCTTTTAAAAACATCCCTCTTCCTTATCTAACAACATTATTTTCAGTAATAATCATGAAATAAATATTAGTAATGGCCAGAAAATAAACACAGTAAAGTTGCTTCTGTTGAGCTTTGTATATGAAATCATGCCAGTGAAAAACTAAAAATTGAAAAGTAGGGTAGATGTTATAGAGAAAAATAGAAGTAATGGGTTAATAGTTTTTAGTTGCATTAATGTAATTTGGAAGAAAACTTGTTCTTATAGTTAGGTTGGTTATAGTCATGAATAATGACAACATTATAGTTTCTGTTTCGGAACTTTTTCTGAGAAGTTGTCCTTGACTTTGACAAAACTGATCTTCTTTGCATATGCAACTCTCAGTAGAGGCAGACTTGTCAATATATCTTGGCTCACAGTTGGTTGAAGAACACTTTTTATTAATTTCAAAAGTTTCTCTTATATGAAACAACAGATATACAAATAGGAAAAGCCTTAAACATTAGAATCGGTTTGTCAGAGATTCATAAAAATCCCATTTTGTAATAAATTCCAGAAACTGAAATGCTGCCTATATCTTAAAAAATTAATTCTAGTGGCTTTTAGTTTTAATTTTATTTATGTTTGTTGATCTCTGGGTTTTTTGTTTGTTTTGTTTTTTGTCTGTGCCGTTCAGCTTGCAGGATTTAGTTCCCTGACCAGGGGTAGAACTCAGGCTGTAGGCAGTGAGATCAGGGAGTCCTAAGCACTGGACTGCTAGGGAATTTCTGATTTTTCACTTTTATTTTTAAAATTTATTTTATTGGCATATAGTTGATTTACAATGTGTTAATTTCTGCTGAACGGCACAGTGATTCAGTTATATATATGTATATACACACACATATATTCTTTTTAATGTTCTTTTCTATTATAATTTATCACAGGATATTAACTATAGTTCCCTGTGCTAGACAGTAGGACTTTGTTGTTTATCCATTCAAAGGCTTTTAAATATATCCACATTTAAAACATTTTGACTAAAACATCTTCACCAGAAAATCCATCATAAGTTTTTAATTTATTTGGTAAAATTCTCCCAAGTTTTTCTTCTTTGGCAAAAGTCAGAGAAAATGGCTGAATGATGGTGAACTTTGACATTTATTTAATCCATTGCTTTAGAATGAGAGTTTAGTTCCCAGTGAAATTGATTCAGACTTTCAAACACTTCTCTTTTAATCTCTTTTCTTCTGGTGCTGGGAGCGCAGACTTCTGTTTAAACACAGGAAAATGTAGGGAGGGATTGGTAGCCCAAACTGTCCTGAAAGTGAACTCGAGCCATTCTGAGCCATTCAGAACTTACTGTTGAAGCAGACACATGGAGCTGAGTCTGTGTGTTGGAGGTTCACTGTATAGCTAGGTGTTCTCTGATTAGACTTCCACATAGAAAACTAAGCTTTTCAAAGAACAGGGATGTGTGCTAATGTAAAGCTCGCATACATGTTATTAAATCTTGGTAGGAATTGCATGAGTTAGAACTTAGACCATTATCACTGATACTATTTAAAAGTGTTGGCATATGGTGAGAATAAACAGATGGACTCTTGGTATGTCTTATTGTTTTAAAATTCTCTACGGACAACTCTCGCCTCTTTGTATGCACCCGGAGGATGGGTGCACTTTCCCATTCTGTGTATGCCACGGTCTGGCTCTTGTGTGTGTGTGCGCGCGCTTTGTCGTGTCCGACTCTTTGCAACTGCATGGACTGTTGCCTGCCAGGCTCCTCTGTCCAGGGGATTTCCCAGGCAAGAATATTGGAGTGGGTTGCTATTCCCTTCTCCAGGGGATCTTCCCAACCCAGGGATCACACCCACATCTCCTGTATGGCAGGCGGATTCTTTGCCACGGAGCCACCAGGGAAGCCTGGCTCTTAGGACTTGACAACTGTGGTTATTCTGATAGAACTCCCTGGATCTCCCGGGGTTGGAGAGGCTGCATATCTACCATATGGGCCCACGTGTCTCCAAGCCCTTTAGTCCAGCCCGAGGCCTCCAGGTCAGTGCCACTGTGTTCTATTAATACATTTGCTTAGGACCTGTGGTCCAAGAGCTTTGCCTTCCCTTCTCCCTGCACCCTGTCCTTAAACCCGTGGCTTGTTGAGCAGCTGCTGCTGGGTAAGTGAAGATCCAAAGGGCATCTGAGGCTCCAGATATGCAGAAATTTTTAAAAAAATTTATTTCAAGCTGGAGGACAATTGCTTTATAGTGTTGGTTTCTGCTGTAAAACAACACAAATCCGTTCTAAGTGTATACACACATCCCCTCCCTCTGGAGCCTCTCTCTCACCCCCACTCCCATCCCAGCTTCTAGGTCATCACAGAGCTCTGAGCTGGTTCCCTGCGCTACAGAACTGCTTCCCGCCAGCTTTCTATTTTACACACGGTACTGTACGTCTGTCAGTGGTACTCTCTCAATTCATCCCACCCTCGCCTTCCCCTCCTGTGTCCACGAGTCTGTTCTCTACATCTGCATCTCTATTCCTGCCTGCAGATATGCAGCAATTGATGGGCCTGCTCTGGGCTCTGACTTGAGACTGTCTTATGGACCTCTTCACGACCCTCGAGGTTTGCCTGACATCCTGACAGATCTCTGTGGAGCTAGTTATGGTGCAAAGGGGAGGAGGGAGAAGTGGATGCTTCAGGCAGGGCAGGGGTTCATCTGCACTGTGGAGGGGCTTGAGCAGGAAGCAGAGCGTTCCTCTAGCCCACAAACCTCTGCTGAGGACGTTGTATGTGCCTGGCTGGCTCCCCAGTCCAGCTGGTGGGCTGGGCAGGGAAGATGATCTCTCCTTTCCTGGGGGCTCAGCTCGACAATTATAGTCATCATTATAGACACACCAAGCTGTGGCTGATAAACACTCTCTGCTGGGAAGTCAGGGGGAGGCACTGAGGAGGCGGAGACATGAGGGATGAGTAGGAATTTGCTAGCAAACAGTCAAGGGCCTTGTAGGCCTAGAACACAGTGAAGCAGAGGCAAAACTCACCGTGGGGGTGGTGAGCAGATGTCAGAAGCTTCGTGTGAATTACTGGGTGCAGCGAAGAGAACTTGGCCTTTGGGTTCAGGAAGACCTGTAGTGTGATCCTGGCGTCACTTCTTTTTAAAAGTAATTTAGTTGATGAATTTCTTTTGGCTGTGTTGGGTCTTCGTTGCTGCGTGGGCTTTTCTCTAGTTGTGGCGAGTGGGGCCTGGTCTCCAGTTGCAGTTCGTGGGCTCTTGTTGTGTGGCTTCCTGTTGCAGAGCATAGGCTCTAGGGCAGGCGGGCTTCAGAAGTTGAGGGTCCCGGGCTCTAGAACACAGGCTCAGCAGCTGTGGGGCACGGGCTTAGTTGCTCTATGGCATGTAGGATCTTCCCGGATCAGGGATTGAACCCGTGTCTCCTGCATTGGCAGGCGGATTCTTTACTGCTGAGCCAGCAGGGAAGTCCCCTGGCCCCACTTCTCAGGAGTTCTCTTGGGCAAGTTACTTCCTATCTCTGAGCTGTTTTCTGGTGGTTAAAACGGGGCTGCTGTAAAGATTTCTAAGTGACTTGTGAAAACCCCGAGGGGTGCCTGGTGGCAGCGGCGGTGTTTCCCAGATGAGTTCAGGGGAAGTCCTGGTTCCCGTGGGCTGACATTCAACACACGGAATAGGTTTGGGGCTTGTAGGGGGTCAAGAGCCTAGGAAGGTGGATGAGTTTTGCCTCCTTTTTCCAGGATGCCCATGACCTTTGGGTTGCTGGGACTGGATTGGTGCCTAGCTGGAGCTGCCACTGTCTCTCTCCCAGAGGCTGAAGAGGTGATGAGTCAACCCAGCTCCTCTACCTTCTTGCTGAGCCTGAAACTGGGGAGTCTGGTCTACCCCTTCACTCAGTGCCCTGCACCCACCCACTCAAGCCTGGGGCACGAGTTTGGGACTTTCTAACAGGTGTTAAGTGGATTTTAGAGTTTTCACCCCCATTATCTCATTATTCCTGACACAAACTCTGCTGGAGAAGCTCAGAGAGGTTAAGTGATTCCTGAAGGTCACACAGCAATAGAGCAAAGGGGCGTCAGTCTCAGGTGGACTGGGTTCTGCTTCTTGAAAACGCAGTCTCAGACAGACAGGATTGAGGGTGGGCTCCTCCGGGGCTTCTTTTCTCCCTGGAGTCTTTGCATCAAAACTCCCAACTCTGCCGGTAAAGTCCGTTCTCAGCACCCTCCCCAAACTTGAGGGT